TCTCAAAAAATGATGTCCATGTATTACTCGTTTTTGGCTAAAACTTTTAGTTTCGGAGATTTCCTATTCGGACATCCAAAATGCAGATTTTGGATTTCCTAAAGAACAGTGGGTAAGTTGAGAAGAAAACGGATGTAAAATCTGTATTTCATAAATAGGAATCATCATAAACATAAGGAGCATAGACAAGTAATCCTTCCAAAACAAACAATAAACGTTAAGATTTTATTCTGATCTTATGAAAACCAGAAAGTTACTTATGTGAGAGTCAAAATAATGCGACGATTTCAGTTTGTACTATTAATTACTTGATTAAATAATGGACTTCTTAGACAACGCTCAAAAACAAGAAATCAACCCAACAACGAAAAATACTTGCAAATTATACCAAAAAGACTTTCAACGACGACAATAATGTTACTGTCAATGTCAAATTGACAAATTCACTCGAACATGACATTTAAGTGGTGTAGTTGAAGTACATACCAGATGAATAAAAAGTATGGAACCAAACGTTTTTTGCTTAAACTATTTATTTTTTGAAAAAACTAATTGATGAGTGATAAAGTACTATAAAAATGTGATGATTTAACAAGAATAAAATTTTTCGAAATTTCCTTTTGTTTTTGAGTTCTACAAAAAAAAATATTTTTTTAAATGGCAACCCACTATAAAATCATTTTTCTCATAAAAGCTATACTCTTAGGATTACAACTATCTGCTTTATATTAAATTTTTCACATAAATTGTAATTTTGACAAAAAAAAAATCGCATAACTCAAAAACAAAACAAAATTTCGTTCTGAAAATACGATCACATTTTTTATATTACTTTAATTTATATTAATTATTTTTTGGAGGCAAATGATTAAAAATAAAACCGCTTGGTTCCATACTTTATATTCACCCTGTATGTAAATTAATGTTCAAGGCTACCATTCTTAGAGACCCTTTAATTGTTCCAATTTACATTGTGATAGAATTTTTTATTTCACTTTTATGTTGGTAATGGAAAAATGAAATTGATGACGGTCCACCCTCCTGATTTTTACTTATAACAACATCTCTTAAAAAACTAGTCCAGGATTTGGATTTGTGGCCCTTCTTACACACTTTTTAAATTCTTTCCATTCACTTTTTCTAGCATGGCGTGTTAAGCCTCGATTCAGACGATCATTTAAAACCACAAATATGTCTCGATAGTTGACATAACCGGTACCATCGACATCAAAAATATTAAAAAGTGTCTCTATCAAATGCCAAGTCAGGTTATGTCCTCCCAATAATTTAAAAATATCATGAAAACCCTGTCGAGACACTTGGGGGTTCTCCTCTGTGTAGTATCTTGTTGCCAAATAAAAATCTTCAAGTCGGTGTAAAAAAATCATGAATGAGTAGAATTCCTCAAAAGTGATGACTTGATGCCGTGATGGTTCTCGTTCTGCAGTGACCAAAAGGCGTTCGATATAATTATCATAGTCATACTCCTTGTCAAAATAAGTGTACCTTATAAGAAGTTTAGCAAAATATATATCGTTGATAGAAGTACCATGAGAGAATTGATTAAACTCCAATTCGAGTATTTCTTTCTGTAGATTAGTAACAAATTGCTTGAAAGTTTCATAGGTTAAAATTTTTGTTCCATCTGATCCAAAAAAATATATAGTGAGGGTTGTATCCACCGAGTGTTTACTTTGAAGCCCGCTTTCGTCCTGAGTTGCAACTTTTTTTTTCCAGCAACGGGAAAAAATTTTCTCCATTACCAAAAATTCATCTTTATCGATTCCTCCACTCTCGTCGGTGTCTAACACTTTGAAGGCAATTTTAATATCAGCGACTGATTTAACTAAGAGTGATAACAGAAATAAATACTCTGTGTATGAAATAATTCCGTTATTTTGAAGTTTGGAGAAGAAATTCTTGATTTGGGTGGGTATTCCTGTTCTGATGTATTTTATTTGTCGATCTGTGAGTTTCACTCTTCTGTTGCGACGCACTTTTGGGTTTAGTTCAATCACAGAATTGAGGAAATCACTAGGTGTCATATAAATTTGACCTTTGTATTCCACAGTGGCAAATTTCAGAAAAGTTTGTTGTGTGGAGTTGCGAGATGTTTTTGATTTTTTGGGGTAAAAAAAATACCAGTATGTTGCCCCTCCTATTAGTATACCAAATGGCACAAAGGTGAATGTTTTGACGTTCCTGATACTTTTTAGAATAACTTGATTGTTTAGGTTTGATGGGAAGTGTTTCCAATTATTGTGCAGCTTCTTTTTTGTCTTGTTTTTGTAATTTTCGCACTTGTCAACGAGATTCTGCCACAATGACATGATTGAAAAATTGCAAAATGTGTCATTTGATTTCCTTTGTCACTTGTATATTGTTTTTCGCGAGATGAAACAGATCACTTCTTGTAAACTCACCACGGAAGTTGCCAGTTTGTTTGATTAAAAGTCGAGATTTACTAGATCTGAGCGAGACAACTTCCACTTCCTGCTCGTGGCGTGGACAAATTTTATTGCCGTCGCCATTTCCGAGCTGTAATTTTATATTATTTAGCGGTTGTATTACGTTTTAATTATGAATTGCCCCAACTTTGCCCAATATCCTTATTGAATAAGTAATTTTGTCGGCGGTTGAACTGATTGTTTTCAATTTATGAACTAAAAATTTTTGAATATCCATTTGCATAACCCCTCTCGCCTCACTTTCATTACGATGCAGAGTTTTCGCGACATTTTGTTAAAATAAATGGACACTTTAATCGTGTAACTAAAAATTAAATAAAAAAATGTAAACGATAACGAGTTGTTGGCAAATAAAAGTTATTTTTTAACACAATTACGCATTCAGGAACACAATGTTAATTATTTATTTTTTTATTATCTGTGTTGTTTGTTAAGCGAACGACCGATACGAATCGGGCCCACCAAAGTGTTATCTGATGACTCTTATCTCCGAATAATTACAGTTTCTTGAATTTGTTTTCGGTTTACGGAAATTTGATTTAAATAATTCTGAGGTAATGAGCAATAATGTCATTTGCTTAATTAAAAAGATGGGTCCAGAACACAAGTTTAGGCTTCAGTTTTATTTATGAAATATTTATTATGTAATATTTTTTTGAAAACTAGTATTTCTTTTGAAACAATTGTTTTCGCAATTTTCTTTTATCGAAAAAACTTTTAAGTGTTGTTACCAAATGCTAAAGGCCTTATGTACAACTTGGATTGTTGAATAAACAATGGATAAAGGTGTTAAATATGTTTAAATAAATAAAAAAATAATAATAAGTAAATGTTTTAAAAAAGCACAAATAACACTAATTTTACTTAATTCAATTACTTTCCGACGTATTCTTGACAAAATTTTGCGAAATAATTGCGTTTTTTATTGAAAAATGTTTGAAAACGCTAGAAAAGAGAAAAACCAATAGCTATCGCAAAGTTTATACAGGGTGAATATAAAGTATGGAACCAAGCGTTTTTTTTAATCCTTTGTTTCCAGAAAATAATAATTAATATAAATTAACGTAATATAAAAAATGAGGTCGTATTTTGAGAATGAAATTTTGTCTTGTTTTTGAATTATGCGATTTTTTTTGAAAATTGCAATTTATGTAAAAAAATTGTTTTTTAATTAAATATGAAGAAGATAGTTGTAATTCTCAGATCATAACCTTTATGAAAAAAATAGTTTTATAGTGGGTTGCTATTTAAAAAATTTTTTTTTTATAGAACTCAAAAACAAAAGAAAATTTTATTCTTGATAAAACATCACATCTTTAAAGTACTTTATCGTTCATCAATTAGTTTTTCCAAAAAATTAATCGTTTAAGCAAAAAACGTTTGGTTCTATACTTTTTATTCATCTGGTATTAGAAAATAAAGTTTGTTTTTTTAACATTTTTTTAATAATATAAACTAATGCATTACAGTGGATGAAGGGGTCATGTACATTTGATCGTTAAAAAATCTAAAAAAAACATAATTACCTAAGTTTTCTTATAACAAGGAAACAATATTCACATAGGCTTTTATATACTCGTATCATGTGATTTTGTTTACCTAAAACAAATTAGAAAAAAGTACCGGCAAATTATATTAAAATGCTTATAACTCCAAATATAGGTTAATGCACATGACACCTTTATCCACTCACCCTTTCAATTATTATTAATAGAGAATTTAAGACGATTATGTATCGGACTTTCTAAATGTATAAAAAGTAAAATAACGGCGGCCACTAGATAAGTGCACATTAAATTTGTTTTAAAATTCCCCCTTAAGTGGGAATGATGTAAAATCGAAGGTATGCAGTATGTAACAGTTTTTTTGCCAGCTATTTCACTTATTTTGCTTGGTGATTGCACAGTTAAGTGACTGAGTTTTACGCCCATTTAGGCACTTGTCGTTGTAAATTGAACGAGAAGTGTCAACATTTAGTTTTTATTTTTGATTGCCAAAAATGTTGACCTTTGTGAAAAAAACGCAATGTTTATTATTGTCATAATTTTGTTGTGGAGGCAATGACCGAATATATTCGGGGTATATTTTCAGGTGTCAGAGGGTTAGTGAACTGTCGCCGTTTATTGCAGATGTGATAAGATAAGATTTAATAAACTGCAAAAAAATCAGTGTTCTTTTTGTGTGTATACGTAATCGGTCATATGTTTTGGTTTGAACCGGGAATCGTCCTCATCGTCGTCGGTGTCAATGGCTCCCCTTATCTGTTGGTACATTTTCCACCTGTTTTTATCATATGTGCGCATCTCCAAGAGATGTCGATTGTTTAACTAATGAAAAAGACAAATTTTGTCTTATTAAAAAAGCGAAGCTCATCGATATTGAGCGATCGAGTCCGAAGAGTATACACAATCATAGTGTATATATGGTGGGGTCGTTGAACCCGCGTCCAAGTGGGGATACAGCTACGTCACGGAGCCGGCGCTAAGACCTACGTTTTTATTTACATTGAATGTGTTAGATAAGGACGAAATGCTGGCAGTCGGTCTACGCTCCAAGTGAATTCCCATATTACTACACAGATACATGGACAATTTGCTAGGGCAGACTTTCTTAAAAAATGTCCAAAATATGTGCCGGTTTTTCGCAAGATATCGACGGCAAGGTCCGCTACGGCAAGTGAACTCGCGCAGTGTCCCAGGGATTTAATTAAAATCCCACTTGAGCACAGTGGCTGTTTTTCTCAATTTTTTGATGATTCTCGAGTGCAGTGAGTGACAGTTACCTGTAATAACGGCTTGTGTGACGTTTGTGTGGATTTTCTGGGAAAATTCGAAGGCAGTGTTTTGCAATAAATATTACACACACTGAGATATATAAAATAGCTGAAGTGAAACTCTTGTCTTGAGCCGAGTGTAATTATGAAATGTGAAATTTTGGGGTTTGAAGATTGGCAGCACTGGGCGAAGGGAAAAAATTCCGCGTGCACTTAAATTTTAATGATTATTGATAATAATGTTGTTGTTTTATCGTAATCGGTCGTTCACATTCGCGTAAAAATAGACGAGTGCGCAACCGACATTGTCTTGAAGGCGATGATTTTTCCGTTGGTGGTCATTTTTCGGAATTCTCCCGTATTAACGATCGCATCTCTCGCTCAACCATATTCGGCGGTGAACAACCTAGAGTTCAATGGCTTGCCGCGCCTCCAAACACAAACCGTCGTACTTTATGCTGGTTTGAACTAAACAAACCGTATTAATGTGCCGCCCTCTCAAATTTTTTTCATTCCGTCACTGCAACTTTCAAGTTGGTAGTCCTGTCGTGATTTTTCGAAATTTTCTCAAACGTTGTGCGTGTGTCTCCTCTCTCGAGGGGGTCATTGACTCCGCGCGCAGCCAGATTTTACTTTGTTGAATTTACCAATGACCCCTTGTACGGCGCCTTATCACACTCCTACTGAGTAAAGACTCATGTATGAACCATCCCAAATTGATTAGCACCGACACAGGTTGGGTGCAGAATGAAGCCGAAACTTTGCGCTTCATTCTGATGAGTAAAAACGTGATCGATCTTCCTCGTTCGTGTTTTTCTCAGTTTCAGGTGTCTGACGATGGAAATCGACGTCGTCAATATCGACCTTAAACTAGATCATCGATCCTGCGTGAAATAATAGTGAGACATTTCATAATTTTTGTGAGTGGCGAATTTGGTGGCTGCGGCCATGCGACGCATTTCTGGATTTATTATACAAGGTGCAAGTGATCGAACGTTTTTAGTGTTTTTGTTTTTGTACAATGGACAATTTTCAAGAGTTGTTCAGTGGTGGGGAAACTTGGCCGACTGATTCAAGAGATATTAGACTAGATAATATTTCTTCGACGGATTCAGCAACCCCACCTCCCCAAATCGACGACAAGGATGACAAGAAAAGCGCCAATTCCATCAGAGGTTCGTGCTTTTCATCAACAGCTGACGTTATGATGACAACAACTGTCATCGACCTTTGATGTTACGAAGAACGTTTTCGGTTTCGGATATATTCCCTCAAATCGCGAAACGACTTATCAGATTGACATTAAGACAAATATGGGAACGCAGATGTTCTCTCCCGGAATTTTTAATTTCGTTCGAAACTGACTCATCTCGGTGTCGTCTTTAAAATAGAAAAACATATGTTAGATTGACCAGATTACAAAATACCACTAGTTGTCTCTGGTACTGCGGCTAATTGACAGATTAAACTTGAAAATGTTATTTGTTGTAAAATAGAGTTAACTAGCATTTGCCGTTTGATACAAGGCTTAGGAAGTTGCAAGAAATATTTTCCATTGTTTGAAAAGGTTAAATCAACAATGGCTCATTTTTGTCTTTGGACAACACTGGAGGTCTTAACTCTTTCAATGATGTATCTCAAATTTCATTTAAACACATCTGTGTGGTCTGTCAACTCTGTTATCACCGACATTTTTTAATCCATTACTTAAAAGTGATTGATTTTTTAATGGTAATACAGCCTCCACATTATGAAATTGATTTTAACTTTTCCCCGGATAGAAAACATGAAAAGCGAATTTAATTCCTGAATATCCTTTTCTGTAATCATTTACGTAAATTTGGTTTCTTGCACTGATAAAGAAAAACATTGTTGCATGATTACAAAGAAACTGAAATTTAAGTCGTGAATATGTGACTTCACTCGCATTGTGTTGAGTTGTCTTGTCACGCTGGAAATCGATAATGCGCTCAACAAAGACAACTTACAACAGAAGTGGTCTCACTTTAAAAAATTATTTCAATAAGGTGAATAACATTGCCAAAATATAAGCGAAATAAAACACGAGATAAGTTTGACTCATTCATTCAATAAAGTCGATGACACTAAGTTAGACCAGACAAGCGAAAATGTATTTTTATTTTTTTCTCTAATCTATTTTTATACACCTCTAATAATAAAATCAAGTAAAAATAATAAAACAAATTATTTAATATTAAAGTAAATACGAAACATTATCATGTTCTTAAAATAATACTAGAGTAAATCGCGACCTTGACAGCTAATTTGCAGTTCAGAATTAAGTGATATGAACTTCCGTTCAATAACGAATTTTACTCGCTCACATCAAAATATGTATAATCTCTTTTACATGTTTTAAATGATTTATTGTTTTGCTACGCCTGCATAAAATTTTGCACATGTATATACTTAAAAATTATAAGAAGCCGCAAGAAGTGGAAAAAGATTTTCCCTAGACACATAATTTTCTTTAGTTACAATCTTCGTACTTTTTTTAAACACATATTGCAAATTAATTACACTTTTAAATCGCGTAATTACAATATATTTATGAAGTGTGATGTTTTAATTAGATATTGTGCCTGTTTTATCGCAAGTGGCAATTTATTCCAAATTAATTCTTGTTAAGCTAGGCAACCAATTAAACACACGTGCAATATTTACGCCAACGTTCCTTGTCTACTTTATCATTAAAAGCTTTTTGATTATTTCAAGCTCCACAATAAAACCTTTTTTAAATTAATTGAACAGAGTTTAATATTTATTTGGTAATGCTGTGCCATATTGCTTTAATAATTGTTTAATGAAACACATTTTGTTAAGTATAGAGCACGTCCTTGTATAGAAAATCTCGACTTATCCTTGTGTAATGAGTATTTCTATTCAGGGACACGGCGCATTATTTCTTATCACCCTAGGCATTTTTGAAAAATGGGTCAAGATTTTAAATTTCTAATGTATTTATTTTCTGTTTCAGCACAAATCGAGATAATCCCGTGCAAAGTATGTGGGGACAAGAGCAGCGGTGTTCACTATGGTGTGATTACATGTGAGGGATGTAAGGGGTTTTTCCGAAGATCACAGAGTTCAGTTGTAAACTATCAGTGTCCTAGAAATAAAAACTGTGTTGTCGACAGGGTAAATAGGAATCGATGTCAATACTGCCGACTGCAGAAATGTCTTCGACTGGGAATGAGCCGAGATGGTGAGTGTATTTTTTTTCGTCGTGCTTTTTCCAACAAAAATCTATACCGAACAGATGTGTTTTAATAGCGGGCGTCTATGTGTGTGTTAACCGTTAATCACAGAACGTAACGAATTGCTGCAATAAATCCTCATTACTTTCCGGCTTGTTAAATAAGGAAATCATTATTCATTTTTGTTTGCATGAAGACATGAATGTTTTCGATTTTTTAGCCCGGATTAAATGTGGATCCGACAGACGCAATGACTTCTTTATGGATTGCTTTGAGTCGAAGAAATGAATAATATACACAGTGAAATTTTAAATTGACGATTGAGAAAATTAGAAAAATAATTTATAATCGGTAATAAACGTTGCATTTAATAATAGACACTTGATTGTATCTCTTACTAGTTACTTATGACGTAACTAGCCATATCAGCTTCTAATTATATTATATGTTGTTATGTAAGATATCTCAAATGTTACGAAATACTTTCCCAAAACCTTCAATGTATTTTTTTTTAGTTACAACCAAATACATTACTCAAAATAATTAAAAGAACAAAAATATTTCCAAAATTTTTTGCTGAGTTTTGAAAGGCTGTCTCTTATCGAAAAATAATCGTATCTAGATTTTTAAAAAATCATTCTAAGGCATTAAGTTTTGAGATTTTTGGACAAATTTTTTTTCTGAGATACAGTTATCACGCAAGCGCAGGAAATAGCGCGAGAAAAAAAAATTATTTTTTTTTTCGTTTTTGTTTATTTTTTAGTTACATCTGACTATAATCATCGATATCTCAGCAACCAATAACAGAGAATGTAAAAGTAGTTCCAAAAACTGAAATAAATGTCTTACAAGATCCTTTAATGATTTTTTCAAAAACATTTTTTTACTCTAATTTGAAAGAAAGAGAAAAAAGTAACTTATTGCATTGTTTTAGTAAATCTACTGCGTATTCACAAATATTGATGGGAGATTAATGTTTTAATGTGTTTTTATAGCTTAATATACCTTGCATAGCCCTGTAAACTTCTAAATCGATCCATAACACTATATTCTCGGACCAATTGTTCAAAGTTTTACAAAAGAAATTAAAGGAACAATTGTACATATTGTTTCCGAATATCTGATCTACGTCAAAATGAAAAAAATTATATTTTTCAGCTTTCTATTACAATTTTTCTTTAGTTAAATATAAAAAAAAAAAAAATT